TTCCTACTACTTCCTACTCCTACTCCTACTCCTACTACTACTACTACTACTAGTACTAGTACTAGTACTAGTACTAGTACTAGTACTACTACTGCTGCTACTACTACTACTACTTCTACTACTACTACTGCTGCTGCTGCTGCTACTGCTACTGCTACTGCTACTGCTACTATTGCTACTGCCACTGCCACTGCCAGTGCCAGTGCTAGTGCTAGTGCTAGTGCTAGTGCTAGTGCTAGTGCTACTGCTGCTACTACTACTGCTACTGCTACTGCTACTGCTACTACTGCTACTACTACCACTACTACTGCTGCTGCTACTGCTACTGCTACTGCTACTGCTACTGCTGCTGCTGCTGCTGCTGCTCCTGCTGCTACTACTACTACTACTACGACGACGACGACTACTACTACTACTACTGCTACTGCTACTGCTACTGCTACTGCTACTGCTACTACTACTACTACTACTACTACGACTACGACTACCACTGCCACTACGACTACGACTACCACTACCACTACGACTACGACTACGACTACAACTACGACTACGACTACGACTACGACTACGGCTACGGCTACGGCTACGGCTACTGCTACTCCTACTACTACTACTACTATTACTACTACTACTACTACTATTACTACTACTACTACTACTGCTACTACTACTACTACTACTACACCTCCTACTACTACTACTACTACTACACCTCCTACTACTACTACTACTGCTACTGCTACTGCTACTGCTACTGCTACTATTGCTACTGCCACTGCCACTGCCAGTGCCAGTGCTAGTGCTAGTGCTAGTGCTAGTGCTAGTGCTAGTGCTAGTGCTACTGCTGCTACTACTACTGCTACTGCTACTGCTACTGCTACTCCTACTACTGCTACTACTACCACTACTACTGCTGCTGCTACTGCTACTGCTACTGCTGCTGCTGCTGCTGCTCCTGCTGCTACTACTACTACTACTACGACGACGACGACTACTACTACTACTACTGCTACTGCTACTGCTACTGCTACTACTACTACTACTACGACTACGACTACCACTACCACTACGACTACGACTACCACTACCACTACGACTACGACTACGACTACAACTACGACTACGACTACGACTACGACTACGGCTACGGCTACGGCTACGGCTACTGCTACCACTACGACTACGACTACGACTACAACTACGACTACGACTACGACTACGACTACTACTACTACTACTGCTACTACTACTACTACACCTCCTACTACTACTACTACTATGTTTTTTTTGATACGAATATTTTTTTGATCTAGGTTTGCAGCACGAAACCCGTGAGGTCTCACACAGTGGCACCTGGATATTTTTTTTTGATGCATATATTTTTCTTTTGATGCGTGCTGGATATTTTTTTAATGCATTTATATTTTTCTTTTGATACGTGTCTCGCAAATCTGAGGGCGGGGTGGAGCAGCTTTCAGCATTTCTCGCCAGGCTTCCCTTGGACTTCATGAGGAAACCTTGAAGGCCGATCAGTGCTCCGTGCTGCTTGTTGGGGTCTTTGGGACTTTGGGACTTTGTTTGACAAGAGCCGCCTTTCTCCTCATTTGGCAAAGACGGACTGCTGAAGGCACTGAACTTTGCTTTGAGGTTGTATGGACTAGGGAATGTCCTAAGTCAGCTTGCCATTGGAGCCGGTGCACTTTCAGTGCTGCAACCATGGAAGCAGTCGCACCAACGGGCAAACATTGTTCCCCAGATAGCGAAGCTATTGGGGTTCTTACTTCAAGTATAGGAGGAGTTGCCTGTCTGCATTTTGGAGCGGGCATGTTGGTGCCGCTGCAGGGTGCAGCTGCATGGTGCTGCTTGAGGGTGCTGCTGTCAGAGTGGTGCGCGCGCTTTAGAGCGGGCATGCTGTGCCGCTGCAGGGTGCCGCTGCTGGGTGCCGCTGCAAGGTGCTGCTTGAGGGTACTGCTGTTATATAGGTGGTGTGTGCGCTTTGGAGCGGGCATGCTGGTGCCGCTGCAGGGCGCCGCTGCAAGGTGCTGCTTGAGCGTGTTGCTGTCAGAGTGCTGCAGGGTGCCGCTGCAGGGTGCTGCTGTCGGGGCGGCGTGCCTTGGAGCTCTGACAGCGGCACCCTGCACCAGCCTCGCAGTTCCTAAGATGCAGACAATCTTTTGCAGCGGCACCCGGCAAGGGGACCAGCAGCCCAGCTCCAAAAGCACACACAGCATTCTAACAGCCTGGCAGCCGCACCAACAGCTCCAAAAGCGCACTTGCCAGACATCAGCACCGTCAAGCAGCAACCTGCTGCACCCTGCAGCGGCACCCTGCAGCGGCACCCTACAGCGGCACCCTGCAGCCACATCCGCTCCACTTTCACCACCACAGCAGCACCCTGAAGTAGCATTTTGCTGCGGCACCTTGCAGCGGTACCAGCAGGCCCTCCAAAGCGCACACGCGCGTCATCTTGCAGTGGCACCAGCAGGCCAGCTCGAAACCGCACACGCCGCTCTAACAGCAGCTGCAGCACCCTGCAGCGGCACCAGCAGGCAAGCTCCAAAGCGCACAGGCCACTCTAACATCAGCACCCTGCAGCGGCACCTTGCAGTGTCACCGGCATGCCAGCCAAACAAAGCGCACAGGCCACTCGAACGGCAGCACCTTACCAGCAGGCCAGCTCCAAAGCGCACGCGCCTCTAACAGCAGACCTTGCAGCGGCACCCTGCAGTGGCGCCAGCCTGCCAGCCAAAGCGCACAGGCCACTCTAACGGCAGCACCCTGCAGCGGCACCCGGCAACGGCAGCAGCAGGCCAGCTCCAAAGCGCACACGCCGCTCTAACAGCAGCACCCTGAAGCAGCACCCGGACGCAGCATCTTGCAGTGGGACCAACATGCCCGCTTCAAATTGCACATATCCAACTCATCCTATGTTTGAAGTAAGAACCCCAATAGCTTTGCTATTTGGGTAAAAACACGGAAAGCTATCCTTTGCAACAGCTGCAGTGCAGCTCAGTAGTGAAAAGAAGACAGCACATCACAGCTTTGAGGTGATGGAAGGAAATGATATGTTCATGTGGACAAAAACAAAGATTACGCCAGCATAGACCCCAGATAGCGAAATAAGGTTTTTTTTGGTGGCAACCACGCGCTCGCCTTTTTTGCTACGGCATAGACGGAATCTCCATCAGGGCCCACCGCCCACATTGCCAGAGACATCTCGCAGCCACCCCCTGCAGCGACACCAGCACCCAAGCTTCATAGCGCGCTGCAGGGTGCTGCGCTTTGGAGCTCGCCTCCTGCTCCGTTGCAAGTTGCCGCTGCAGGGTGTGCGCTTTGGAGCTGGCGTGCTGGTGCTGCTGCAGAGTGCTGCTGCAAAGTGCTGCTTCAGGGTGCTGCTGTTAGAGTGGTGTGTCCGCTTTGGAGCTTCAAAGGATTGTTTGCATCTTAGAAACTTTTGCTGTCAGAGTGCGGTGTGCGCTATGGGATGTCTATGGCAGTGTGGAAGTTGGGGTGCGATGGAGATTACGTTTATATATGCCGTAGCAAGCGAGCGGTTGGTTGCCACCAAAAAATATCTTTTGCTATCTGGGGTCTATGCTGGCGTAATTTTTGTTCTTTCCCGAAGTTACTTGTCCGCAATTCACCCTGCTTTGGCTTGCTGTGCAAGCCTTGCGTGGATCGTGACACAACACTGATGCTACCAACCAGTTGCTGTTACACTAATCCAACCGGCAGCATGTCAGCTGGTGTTTTCTACAACTGGTGAACAAAACCCTTGAGAGCTGGCCTAAGCGAACCTCAGATGCTTTGTGTTGCGATGTGGCTAGGCCTTGCGTCTCTTGGCATTGCTGACGCCGCAGCTCACACTTCTGCAGCGGTGGCGACGTGCGGCTGAGGTCTTTAGCATTGAAATCATTGTCCGATCAGATAGCATGGATAGAATTTTCAATCCAATGTGTTTTTCAACAGCTATTTGCTGCATACAAGAATGTTGTATACTCTTGGGCAGATTCAAATATGTCTTCGATCTCATGCTGTCCGTGACCTGCTTGGCTTCCAGAAGGCCCTGGCAAAAGAATAGGATCTTGCGTTTATGAAAGGCTCTGTCAAGATGGCAGTGCCCTTCAACGATGGAACGAAATTAACCAAATAAAGTGTAGAAATGTGTAGAAACACCTAGCTAGATCTCGCTTCAAGTGCTAGCTGTTTTGGCACCTGAGCCTCGGTTTCTGCTGGAAAGCAATTTCATCATCACCTGCATGCCTCAATGCCAAGACATGCAAAGCATGTTCCAAACAGGCCCTACGAGGACCAAACCACATCGACACCATTGAGCAGCTTGGCAGTCTTTAGGGAATGCAGTCTGGCACAATGAAACCTAGCCAACACATTGACAGAAATATGCTGTTCAGCAGATGTAGAAACTTTAATCCCGTATGAATATGCATCATGTGCATATACATATACATATCGAGCATTGTGTGCATTGAGCACCATAGGAGATGGAAAGACACAATCATTGTGCGCACGGCTGAGTCTGTGTACGCGTCCATACTGATGGCATTCGGCTCAAGCTTTTCCCATGAATAAACGTGCTGTTTACATGGCTGCAAGGTTCGCTCCGAGCAGCGCTTTGCTGGCCTTGCAAAACATTGGCAAGCACCACGCGGTTTCCCCAGAAGCCGCACTGATTATATATTATTGTAGTCCATTCTTCATTATTTTTCGCAATGGGCGCAGGGCTAGCAAATCGACCAACGATTGTCTCCATGCAGTGTGATCTAGTGGCAGACAGTTGTATTCTTATTGGCCTATCCATTAGAGACCCAAACTTTGCCCAAATCTCACTTCTTTCCTCTTCCCATCCTTTGTCATTGGGCGTATAAGTTTGATAGATTCCAGAAGAAATGGCTACAACATCTACAAACCTATCAAACCTATTTGAAGCTGGGTATCGTTTAAGAGCTCAGTGGCACCTGTCAGGGACTCGCAGAAGGATGTGGGGGGACGGCTTTGACGGCTTCTATGCGACTGTTGCGCTTGTGATCTTTGCGATGGTGCTACCAACTTGTGGGCTTTGGCCTGGTACCCCAGTTGCTGAGTCTCCGAAGTTTCTGAGAACTCAGTGAAACAGTTCAGCATCGTCCAACGGGACTATCATATTGTAAAACGATATAGGGCTCGCCGAAGTTTCGATGTGGTGTCTCAACACATAACAAAAGCATCTAAAAGAAAAATAGGTCATAAGATAAACCACACGATCTTCCTGAACTCTGGAAGTAGCCGCCTAAAACAGAGAAAACTATTTGCAGAGAAGTTGTGATGATATGGATGCACCTCTTTGCACTGTTTGTTGAAAAAACATGTAACACCTGACAAGGCCTCAGATTTCTGCTTGAACACTTGCGCCACAGCCAAGGTTGCTGCCAAGATACTTCCACGCAGATGTGGAGGCGCCTGGGGTTAAGATCATTTGCCGACACATGCTTGTTTCTGGCATATCTTTGATGGGGAAGTTAGTGCAAGGAGTTAGAAGGGGCTCCTTCAAATCCAGTCTTATCGTCTACACATTTTCCAAATTGCAGTCGAATGAAGGAACGCTCAAGATCGGACTCTGTCAGCATTGCACCATATCAAGCCTAAAGTTTATCAGCGTGTCCGTGGGCCAGATTGATGTGATTTCATATGACTTGACAGTGATTGTGAGGGTTGTCTTCAGAGAACGAAATGAGCATGAGCTAGCTTTGGTTTGAGGCTGATCGCCTCGAGTTCAAGAACGACGAGTCTTTTTGGCTATTTGTGGGCTCACTCATATCAGCAGAGCTTGACAGGGTTTCGGGTGCTTCAAGCACTTGCTGCTCTAGTGGCTTGCTTTGGTTTGCTTGGAACTGCCATTGTGCAACATTGCATCCATTGCTGCGCGGGTGGGCTATGATTCGGTTGATAAGCTGAAACCGGGCGTGCCAGGCCCGTATCTCCAAGATCCTTGGTGCAGCAGCTGGAAAGCGTAAATGCAGATACACGGCCGTACATTTTCAGCATCTTGGCATTGCAGAGTAGGCAGGAGTAGGCAGAGGTGCATGGGTCTAGACTAGAACCTTCCTGCTGTATGGCTTTGTAGATTTCATTTGTCCTTGTCTTGGAAGCTGACAACCAAAGCTTCTTCGACAACAAACCATACGATGCTGAACGGTGATATAGAGAGGACAGCCACCCCGAGTGTCCCCCAGGAATAGGAAGTGCAGGAGAGAGAGAGAGAGAGATATCAACAAGAGAAAAAGGACCACAAGAGTGGCAAGGACAGCAAGGATAGCAACGACAGTGGCAAACACTATCACTTTCAGCAAGACCACCACCACCACCATCCACCACCATCCACCACCATCCACCACCATCCACCACCAACCGCCACCATCCACCACCATCCACCGCCATCCACCGCCATCCACCGCCACTACCAGCACCAGGAATTGAAAGTAACCTACGAGTAGCCAACCTCTCAAATTCTTCCAAGGCGCCGAATATGATGAAGAGCTCGAAATTGGGACCCAGGACTGGTCCAAATGTTTCACTTTCAAAGCGATCCAGGATAGACATCGGATAGAAAGGATTCTGAATATTGCAATGCGGCTCGAAAGCTGCTCCAAAGTTTTGCTTTTTTCCCCAACAGCAAAAGCTAATGGGGTCTTCAGCCCAGAATAGCTCCGGTGTGCACTGATGCAGGTTCCGAAGATTCTGGAAAAGGTCTGGAAGATTCAACAGGGTTCTGGGGAAGGTTCCGGAGAAGGATTCCGGAGAAGGTCTGGGAGGCTTTGGTGCAGAGCCAGGTCAGGTTCAACAGGGTTCCGGAGAAGGTTCCGGAGAAGGTCTGGGAGGCTTTGGTGCAATTACAGTTCAAGTTCAACAGGGTTCCGGAGAAGGTTCCGGTGAAGGTCTGGGAGGCTTTGGTGCAGAGCCGGGTCAGGTTCAACAGGGTTCCGGAGAATGTTCCGGAGAAGATTTGGGAGCCAGGTCAGGTTCAACAGGGTTCCGGAGAAGGTTCCGGAGAAGGTCTGGGAGGCTTTGGTGCAATTACAGTTCAAGTTCAACAGGGTTCCAAAGAAGGTTCCGGAGAAGGTTGCGGAGAAGGTCGGGGAGGCTTTGGTGCAGGGAGGCTTTGGTGCAGAGCCAGGTCAAATTCAACAGGCTTCCGGAGAAGGTCTGGGAGGGTTTGGTGCGGAGCCAGGACAGGTTCAACGGGTTCCGGAGAAGGTTCCGGAGAAGGTTCCGGAGAAGGTTCCGGAGAAGGTTCCGGTCCGGGAGGTTTTGGTGCAGAGCCAAGACAAGTTCAACAGGGTTCCGGAGAAGGTTCCGGAGAAGGTCTGGGAGGCTTTGGTGCAGCCAGGTCAGGTTCAACGGGTTCCGGAGAAGGCTGGGAGGCTCCGGCGCAAAACATGAGCTGGGCGGGTCAGGTTCAACAGGGTTCCGGAGAAGGTTCCAGGAAGCCTTGGTGCAAAGCCAAGTCAGGTTCAACAGGATTTGCGGCCATTTAATTCACGGAAACCCAGCTGAGGTGTTTCCAGGCTTCGCAGCACGCTTCAGAAAGATTTGTAAAAATAAAATAAAACGTTGCGGCTGTTGGGGATACCACCGAAGCTTATTTGGATTTAGTGGACGATGCGTTCTTGGCATTTCTCCTTGTGCACTCTGACAGTTTCAAATAGGATGAAATAGCTGTCTACTGGGTGAATGCAAGATTTTTCCCCAACAGCGTAAGCTAGTAGGGTCTTCAGCACAGACTAGCTCCGGTGTGCACTGGTGCAGCCGCCGGGTCAGGCTCAACGAGGTTCCGGAGAAGGTTCCGAAGGTTCCGGAAAGTTCCGGAGAAGAATCCGGGGGGCTTTGGTGCAGAGCCAGGTCAGGTTCAACAGGGTTCTGGAGAAGGTTCCGGAGAAGGTTCCAGGAAGCCTTGGTGCAAAGCCAAGTCAGGTTCAACAGGGTTCCGGAGAAGGTTCCGGAGAAGGTCGGTGCAGAGCCAGGTCAGGTTCAACAGGGTTTCGGAGAAGGTTCCAGTGAAGGTCGGTGGTGCAGAGGCAGGTCAGGTTGAACAGGGTTCCGAAGAAGGTCTGGGAGGCTTTGGTGTAGAGCCCGGCCAGGTTCAACAGGGTTCCGGAGAAGGTTCGGAGAAGGTCTGGGAAGTTTTGGTCAGGTTCAACAGGGTTCCCAAGAAGGTTCCGGAGAATGTTTTGGGAGGCTTTGGTGCAGAGCCAGGTCAGGTTTGTTGAGGCCGGAGAACGTTTGGGAGGTTTTGGTGCAGAGCCAGGCCAGGTCAAGTTCGACAGAGCTCTGGAGATGGTTCCAGAGAAGATTCCGGGAGGCTTTGGTGCAGAGCCACATCAGGTTCAACAGGGTTTCGGAGAAGGTTCCAGAAAAGGTTCCCGAAAAGGTCGGGGAGGCTTTGGTGCAGAGCCAGGTCAGGTTCAACAGGGTTCCGGAGAAGGTTCCGGAGAAGGTTTCGGGAGGCTTTGGTGCTGAGCCAGGTCAGGTTCAACAAGGTTCCGGAGAAGGTTCCGGTGAAGGTCTGGGAGGGTTTGGTGCAGAGCCAGGTTCAACGAAGGTTCCCGAGAAGGTTCCAAGAAACCATGGTGCAAAGCCAAGTCAGGTTCAACGGGTCCTGGAGAAGGTTGCAGAGAAGTTCCCAGAGAAGGTTTTGGGAATCTTGGGTGCAGGGCCTGGTCAGGTTCAACAGGTTCAACAAGGTTTCCAGCGCTTGGCTTCGCAGCACGCTTTAAAAAGATTTGTAAAAATAGCGACTGTTGGGGATACCGCCGAAGCTTATTTTCGTTTAGATATTTTGATTTGGACACTTGCTCCTCGAATATTTCTCGCAATCACGCTAGGATAGTTGCCCTCGCCGGTTGTTCTGTGTGTCCTCATTTGTTGGGTTGCTTGGTTGTGGCTACACGAGTAAGTCGGCAGGTGTGCAAGTTGGAAAGTGTTTTTTTGAGTTGCTTCCTGTTTCAGACAAGATGATACTGGTGAACCAAATTGTCCACTCCATCACAGTTGAAACCCTTTGTGACGTGCAGGACGCGCACTGGCTCTGCGTAGTATGCATGGGCGAACTTGAGACGGGATCTCGCGTTCGATGCCTCCCTTGTGAGCATATCTTTCATTGATGCTCGGCAGTCTGCGGGTTTACGTCTGTTGACGTCTGTTGATATACGATTTCTTTCACCAGGTGTTCGAAGGACTTGATCGGTGAAGGGACCGACCGACCCTTCATTTGTGAATGTTGACTTATTGCTGCGATACTTTCTGAATCTCTCCAACAATATAGATACACCTCAGATGATTGCTTCATACCTTGATATCAAGCTTTTGCAGAGTGGAGAGTGCCTATTGGACCAGTGGGAACCCAGTGGTGGAAAGAATGTGTGGCTTACACTGACTCCCTTATTCCACATATGGATATTACACGTGGATGTGTGTATATATATATATATATGTAAACAAACATGACTCATATGATATATGTACAATCTGATGATGTAACAACAAAATACAATAAAATATAAAATATAGTATATATAGAATACCAGTAGTACCGCACAAGGCGGTGGCGAAAGTTTCAAAAATAGGAAGCCTATAGGAGAGTTTGGTTGTTGTGAATCAAGGATGGCAGAGCGAATCCACTGATGGACTGGCAGGTGGTTGGAGTTGTTCCTGAGAGCGCCTGCGAAGGGTTCTTCGTAAAAAAGCAGCCGTTGTAATACATCTTCACACCTTCACATCTGCTGATCTACATCTTCACACCTTCACATCTGCTGATCTACATCTTCACACCCTCACATCTGCTGATCTACATCTTCACACCCTCACATCTGCTGATCTACATCTTCACACCCTCACATCTGCTGATCTACATCTTCACACCCTCACATCTGCAGATCTACATCTTCACACCCACATTAGCTGATCTACATCTTCACACCCTCACATCTGCTGATCTACATCTTCACACCCTCACATCTGCTGATCTACATCTTCGCACCTTCACATCTGCTGATCTACATCTTCACACCCACATCTGCTGATCTACATCTTCACACCCTCACATCTGCAGATCTACATCTTCACACCCTCACATCTGCTGATCTACATCTTCCCACCCTCACATCTGATGATCTACATCTTCACACCTTCACATCTGCTGATCTACACCTTCACACCCACATCTGCTGATCTACATCTTCACACCCTCACATCTGCTGATCTACATCTTCACACCCTCACATCTGCTGATCTACATCTTCACGCCTTCACATCTGTTTGTAAAAGCGTCTGTGTGTAAACGCTTCTGTGTGTAAAAGCGTCTGTGTGTAAATGCGTCTGTGTGTAAAAGTGTCTGTATGTAAAAGTGTTTGTGTGTAAAAGTGTCTGCGTGTAAAAGTGTCTGTGTGTAAAGGCGTCTGTGTGTAAAAGCCTATGTGTGTAAAAGTGTCTAGTGTCTGTGTGTAAAACCTTCTGTGTGTAAAAGCTTCTGTGTGTAAAAGCGTCTGTGTGTAAAAGCGTCTGTGTGTAAAAGTCTCTGTATGTAAAAGCTCCTGTTTGTAGCAGCTTCTGTGCAAAAGCGTCTGTGTGTAAAAAGGTTCTGTGTGTGAAAAACAATACGAAGGATACGATGCAAACTAGTGTCTTGTACTTGTAATATTTTGTCTTGATACTACTTGTCTCGTCTGCCTATAATACATCTTTTATATATTGTCTTGTAATATAGTGTCTTGTAATAAAGTATCTCAATACTAACAACAGAAGACCCTGCTCCTCTACGCTCCCGGGCCATCCGTCGTCTAGTTTTTTTTGAGTTGCAAGGTTTGCAGTGGTCGCGTCACCACAACTGCTGGATGCAGTGTGGTTTAGTGCAGTTGTAGTTGTAGTTGTAGTTGTAGTGTAGTGTCGCGTACTGGAGTTGTAGTTGTAGTGTAGTGGAGTTGTAGTTGTAATGTAGTGCAATTAGTGTAGTGTAGTTGCAGTTGCAGTTGTAGTTGTGGTGTGGTGTAATTAGTGTAGTGTAGTGTATTGTAGTGTTGTGCATTGTAGTGTGGTACAGTGTAGTGTAGTCTAGTGTGGTGTAGTGTAAAATAGCGTAGTTGTAGTTGTAATGTGGTGTAGTTTTGTAGTGTAGTGTAAGATAGTGGTAGTTGTAGTTGCAGTTGTAGTTCTGGTTCTAGTTGTAGTGTGATGTCATGTAATTAGTGAGGTGTTGTCTTGTGTAGTGTAGTGGAGTGTAGTGTAGTTGAGTGTAGTGAAGTGTAGTGGAAGGTAGTGTAGTGTAGTGTAATGTAGTGTAGTGTAGTGCAGTGTAGTGTAATTTAGTGTAGTGGAGTGTAGTGGAGTATACTTGTGTAGTTGTAGTTGTGGTGTAGTGGAGTGTAGTGTAATGTAGTGTAGTGTAGTGTCGCGGAGTGTAGTGTAGTGTAATGTAGTATAGTGAAGCGAAGCGAAGCGAAGCGACATCTGAACCTCCAAAAGTGGTCCGAACCCCTAGTGTTTTTAACATTTTGACTTGCAAATGTGCTTCGCGCCACAACGGCGTGCACTTTTTCGACATCTCAACTGCCAAAAGTGGTCCGCGCCCCTAGTGTTTTGTACATTTTGACTTGGAAATGTGCTTCGCGCCACGACGGCGTGCACTTTTTCGACATCTCAACTGCCAAAAGTGGTCCGAGAATGGTGTGTTTTGTACATTTTGACTTCGACATGTACTTCGCGCCACAACAGCGTGCACTTTTTCGACATCTCAACTGCCAAAAGTGGTCCGCACCCCTAGTGTTTTGTACATTTTGACTTGGAAATGTGCTTCGCGCCACAACGGCGTGCACTTTTTCGACATCTCAACTGCCAAAAGTGGTCCGCGCCCCTAGTGTTTTGTACATTTTGACTTGGAAATGTGCTTCGCGCCACAACGGCGTGCACTTTTTTGACATCTCAACTGCCAAAAGTGGTCGGCACCCCTAGTGTTTTGTACATTTTGACTTGGAAATGTGCTTCGCGCACAACGGCGTGCACTTTTTCGACATCTCAACTAGTAAAAGTGGTCCGAAGCTAGTGTGTTTTCTACATTTTGACTTGCAAATGTGCTTCGCGCCACAACGGCGTGCAATTTTTCATCTCTCATCTGGCCAGCTGGCTCCGCACCCGCCGCTCTAGCGAGCCTACTTTTCGACCCTCCGGAGCCACAAATCATTGGAAAAACACAGTGTTTCGCGACTTTCCTACCTTTTCACGCATCTGCATCTTCTTTCTTCTGACTCTTTCTCTTCTACTCTTCTTTCTTCTAATCTTTCTCTTCTCTCTGCCTCTTCCCTGCTCTGCTTTTCATCTGCCCATATTGTCGGAAGTTTGACTTCTAAACTTCCTTCGAACACTACACTCTAATTACACTACACTCTAATTACACTACACTCTAATTACACTACACTCTAATTACACTACACTAATTACACTACACTAATTACACTACACTACGCTACACTACGCTACGCTACGCTACACTACACTACGCTACGCTACGCTACACTACACTACCCTACCCTACCCTACCCTACCCTACCCTACACTACACTACACTACACTACACTACACTACACTACACTACACTACACTACACTACACTACACTACACTACACTACACTACACTACACTACACTAACTACATCTGATTACATCTACTTACACTACACTACACTACACTAATTACACTACAACTACGACAGCTACGACTACTACGACTACTACACTACATTGCAACTACAACTACGCTATTCTACACTACACCACACTAGACTACACTACCCTATACCACACTACAATGCACAACACTACAATACACCACACTACACTAATTACACCAGACCACAACTACAAGTGCAACTGCAACTACACTACACTAATTGCACTACATTACAACTACAACTCCACTACACTACAACTACAACTCCAGTACGCGACACTACCCTACAACTACAACTACACCTACAACTACAACTGCACTACACCACACTACATCCAGCAGTTGTGGTGAGGTGACCAGTGCAACCATTCCAACCACTCCAAAAAAACTGCAACCACCTGTCAGTCCATCAGTGGATTCGCTCTGCCATCCGTGATTCACAACAACAAACCTCTCCTATAGGTTTCCTATTTTTGAAACTTCCGCCACCGCCTTGTGCGGCACTACTGGTATAATATTATAGTGTAGAATTGAGTATCGGCCTGGTGTTGCTGACCCCCCCTTCGCGATTTGCGGTTGGAAAAAGAAACGCGACAAACATCTATCAAAAAGTAGCAAAACAGGGACACAAGCGAACCCTTCGCCACACCCAGTGCCACCCGAAGGCATGGCGTGACGGCTGAAATTCAAGAAACAATTTTAGTCTCTGCAGGACTGGCGAAAGGATGATGACATGCCGAACTACATCTAAGAAGGGCCGTATTGGGGCCTACATTCCGCCCTCCCGACACTTTCGGTGAACCCGCAAATCCTATCTGGCCTAAACCCTTATCCCCTCCAAAACCGCAAAACAGTGTACACATTTCCCCCCGGCCAAGTGATGGTGTTTGCACTGGGCCAAGTGAACCCTCACCAATCTAAGTGATGTTGTTGTGCCCGGGCTAAATTAATTTGCTGCTGTTCTGTCAAGGTTTTAGAAGTGGATTTGAAGAACTCTTCAAAACTTAGGGCTCAAGGTGCAAGAACGGAAACTTACGAATGCTCCAAACACAATGTTTGGAACACCTGTAGTGGAAAGTGGGCCAGCAATAATGTTCGGAGACCTCACGCTCCTAAAACCTTGGCAAAAAAATGAAAGATGCCTTTAAACCTAACCCCAAAACGTGGAAACTTGAAGCATTTAGACATATCCAGACTGAAGGGCTTTAAGAATGCGTTAAGCAAATGCAATTCACAGTCGACAATAACTGGTAGCGGTTGCCCAGTGCAATGGTGCCTCACATTTGACTGAACACTGATCAAAATATCCTGACCTTCTGTTGGGTTGAAAAGCTGAATTGACCAGTCTGACTTCCGTCACATGTTCTGCATTCCTTGAAATCATACGAGTGAACCGAGTGAACCGAGTGAACAAGACCGACGGGATCAGGACCGACATTGCGATTTCACAAAGCACAATAGTTTGGGGCACGAAGAGAAACTGTTTTTTCTCTTTGTACTAATTGTACTAATTGTCGGGCTTTGCATGCGCAGATGAAAACATGGATATGATCATAGTCTGTGTCTACTTGCAACGCGCAGATCAGCTACTGCAACATGTATTCTGATTTTTATCTCTACAGTATGTGTTTTGGTACTGTCCTTTGCTGAGGCTTTGCACGGAACTAGTGATTTGCCGGAAGGCATCCGAGTAGGTCATCCTACACAACCATGTAAAACCCCCCATCTCCACCTTTCGGAGTGTCTAAGTGGAACAAGGCTCTTGCATTGATGGCTGGTTGGATGGTCATTGCGATTGTCCTGTCTGTCGCAAGCCAGTGCTGGACGGGTGCCGGGGAGAGACACGGAGAGGCTGTCTTAGGTGTCTGTGTTGCCATGTGTGCAGCTGAAGCCGTCACCAGACACACGAGACTAATATTTGGAGGGGATCCCGCTTGTCCTGCTGGAGCTATTCCTTTGTCTCTTTGACAAGTCATTGTCCTTTGGACTAGGTTTAATGAGGAAATGACATCAATCTGTGATGCTTTGTTGAAATTCCGGGACAAATAAAAAACAATCAAGCACCCAAAGCACAAAGAGGACCAACACACACACAGAGGAACATTACAGAGCTTCTTTTGGTAGCAGCTAACCCATAGCGAGTTTTGATCACATTGAGTCGCAGTTTTGGGGAGGTTGCAGTTTCGCAGTAGTTTTTCTTTAGCCCAACAAATTTGGCTCTGGGAAACTTGACGTGCTCCGTTTGGCACAGGAGAATCACCCGGTGACATCGCCACAACGCTGGCGGCGCTTTGCGTCGCAAAGCATGATCTTTGGAGAATGACACCGCAGTTGGACACGCAACGGCCACAGCAGAGCTCAGAAAGGTCGTAATTTGTGGGATGCCAGTTGATGATTGAACAATGTCCCACTTTTCACTGTAAACTTGCTGGACATAGCTTCACGATGCATTTTGATTCCGCCACAGGTGGGAAAGGATATATAATATATACGTAGTTCAGTGCTGTAAGTCTGAGAACGGAAAGCACCTTTGTGGTCGTTACAGAGATCCTATTGCTCTTGGGATGAAGCTTGTGGTAACCTGAGATTCATTCCCAAAAGCAACCCAACTTGAGTCTTCATTAATTTTGAACATCAGCCTGCAAGTGAACTCCGAAGCGAGAGAAAGGCACCGTGGAAAGTGCTGAAAGCAGCACTTCCCAGGTGCCTGACGAACTGAAGGCGCTGACAACAAGTAGATAGATGATGATAGATGCATACCCGCTGTGTACTGGACATAGAAAGGCATAGACATTTTTCTGTACATGCTCATGCTGATGCTTATGATACTGCACAAAGCTATTGTAACGCAACTTGAATCGATGCCAATGCCGCAATTGAGCCTAGTTTCATCTTGGTTGTTCTTCTCCTTGATTGTGCTACATGCGTGTTTGTGTTGTTTGTGTCGTTGATTGTTCATATGAAGGCCCATTAGTTCCTGCAGATCAGCCTGGAAGTTCACGAACCTGGTTCCGTACAACAAGTGCATGCTTTGGCATGTATCCGATGTGCATTTTGACTATGTGCTGTACGGACAGGATTGATGTAAGTGTCCGATTAGGTGGCGCTATAGGAAGAGACAGTAATTGCACAGACAATCTGCCAAACATTCAAACAAACTAAAACACCTTGATACAACGGTAGTTCTAGGGAACAGGCCACTTCTGTCGATGAGACAAGTTCGAATGAGCAACTCTGATAAATGCTTCCGAACGAAATTCTACCAATCTGCAGTGCTTGATAATGCGGGGTCCAGGGTGTACCAAAGTCTCATGAAACATCAGAGAGGATTCTGTGAGCCTGCAGTTTGTCATAGAGTCTATAGATGGGGACCTGAAATGCTGCTTGCATGCCGGGAATACAGAGCTTCATGCCTTGCAGCAAGAAGGGCCCACAGGGATCAGGGGTCACCAAATCGCTATGCGTGTCATTGGCCGGAAGACCAAGCAAAAACCGAGGAAGCTGAGGAAACATTGGCGAATCAATGTTCTATTTAGTGCAGGCTTTGTCAAGTATTGGTTCCTGCACACTTGATTTGTTTGAGGGTTGGCAAAGCCTGGCAGTTTTGAAGCTATTCTTGCTGTCATGATCCATCATCTATACACATGTAACTCACATGTATATATTTTTCTTGTGACCTGAACCTCCATCCTTCCTGTTTGAAGGTTGGAAAGATCATCTTGCTACTTTGGCAAAACGCAAGCCAAAATCCATTATCAACGGGTTGTACTGTAAGTATTTTCCAGTTCTGTTCTGCAGGCACTTGGAAGAGCCTTGATGTGAGACCAAAGACAGTGTTGATTCTTTACAAAGCATGTCTTCGACTTGGTTTGAGCAACAAGTTGATTAGGTGCTATTGACAGATAAGAAACACCGCTGAAATACTCCAAGAGTTGCAGTTGGTCAGAACACGGGGCGCAATCCTGATGACATGAAAGTTAAGTACAGCAGTGTAGTTCATGTGAAGTCTGAATTAGTTACACACACATATATATATATATAATATTGTTTAGATATATGAATGAATAAGCTATATGCAAAAAAATCTATCACTGAGCTGTCAGGACATTTCTGTGACCAGGTGTAGATTTGTATGGAGCAGCAGAGAGCTAATGTTTTTCTGACAGTCTTCAGTCATCAGTTTTCGTAGAGTTTTTGCGCCAGTCCTTACGAAATAGATTGCGCAACCACAACTCATCAAAACACAAATGCAACAGGTTAGCGATGTTTGCTGGGAGATGGTGGCACCTGACTTTACATTCAGTTTCCACATGGTCGGAGGCCGAAGCTCACCATGTGCTTCGCTGCCTCTGGCCAACAGAATTTAGGGTCGACAACGAATCATCTGAATTCTGTCAGACCTTCACAGTTTTCCAAAAATTAAGGTGGAAATACATTGTAAAGGATCAATTGTTTCTGCAGAAAGTTTTTGGTTTCTTTTGACTCGTGCAGTTTATGAACGGACTTTTGGATCCTCACGGCAGGGACTTGTAGAGATCCGTCCCGCAACAATTCACAATTTTGCGGCAGAGCGAACAGCACCAAGTCCCGGGATTCAAGTTTCAGTTCACAGAGATCTGAGATCACCTGCGGACTAAGGGATATGTAGAGTGTATAGAGTGCTGGCAGTTTCGGTTGTCGGCTCTGCATGCATTGCACATTGGAGGAGAGAGAGAGTGCTGGACCTGGCTGCGTGGGTTGCAATGAAGATTCTATTGGATTTCATCATTCCAAACATAGGATGAGATTGAAGTCAGAGGAAACAAGGTTAGGAAATACTAAAACTGTTTCGAAGTTTAGTCCCACTTCTTCTTGCAATCAAGTCACCTTAGTTAATCTGGCATGCATGTATTCTTGACATGCTTGGTTTTCCATGTACCAAGTCATCAACTATCGCCAAAATCACCGACCAGCCCAGTTCCAGGAGCCTTGGGGTCAAGTGTCTGCTCTTTCTTTGAGTTGGCTTTTCCCGTCAACCCATTGACGGCCCCAATTCTGGTGGAAAAAGTTTGCACAAGATTTGCAGTTCAGCACCGCTGACTAATTATTCTACACAGTAATCTTTGATGCTTCACCGGCTACAGATTCTTACGATATCGAGGACATAGTTGTCCGTCCAGCCAAACTCAAGCATCTGCTGTTGTTCTTAGAATTTCACAGTGTGTCTCACAGAACAACAGCACTCGAAGCTCCCAGCTCAGCTAAGTTTGGGGAGCGTTGCTGGAAGGGATCATAGCATTTTTTCCTGGTACAGTGTTCCCATAACTTGACCTTTGGCCACCAAGGGCAAGCTGGCATTTGGCCATCCAACTGCACCAAGCTGGAGCTTTTCAGGAAGCTATAGCAACTTGTTTTAGTGCAATGCACACAGCAAAGTTGTAGTGAAGTGGTAAAATATGCTGTTCAGGGTGACCAGCAGTATGAAATGTTCATTTTCGGTTTCCGAAACTTTCCGTCCTTTTCTTGCTTGTAGCATCTTGTAGCATCTTGTAGCATCTTGTAGCATCTTGTAGCTTGCTTTGCCGATCTTTGAGCTCAGGATCTTTTTGCTTCGATTGCATCACGTTCGTCAGAGCTCCGGATCCTCGCGTGGCTGAAACAGGCCTCTGCTCTTCAGGAGACAGGCATACTGTATAGTATTGTCATAGTACACATACACATCATACACAGACTTCTGATTACTCACTGCATAGTAATTAGACAGGCGCCAGATTTGCATCCAAACAACACTCCATTCAAGTGCTTGATAGCTTCTGAAGATCAGAGATTGTTCAAGCAGAAATCCTCGAATTGCATCCCATCAGTTCACTGGAACTGCAACGTTTTATGAACGGATTTGGCTTTAGGACCCGCATTCCTTTCCAAATGTACTGTGTGCCAAGTGCGCCATGCAGGATGCCGGCTCTTCTGGCCATGCTGAACTCCTGGCACGCCAGGCTATACGAGCATTGGCAGCACCGTGTGATGCGCAGATGCAGCATGGGTATGGTGCAATGCGAGCTGCAGCAGCGCAGTGACTTAGAAATGATTCATACGAAGAACCAGACATCTTATTGGTGTTGCATTGTTGAAGTGAAGAACCGAACGTGAGTGCCTCACAAACGCACCCAATAGCAGGGTTATTGAGACCAATAAGGACATGGCTGTAGTCTTGACTCTTGATATATCTTGATGTTGTGCTGCATGCTGAAAAAGCCATCAACGAGGGACTCATCACAAGCAAGCTATACACTCCCCGCTTTGAGCAGCTTCATGAGGTTTTTGGGTGAGCTCTTGCTGCAGCAGCATGGAGAATCAGTCTGGGATGCACACTTGAGGCAAGAACTTGTGGGCTCGGGTCTCACGAAGTCTATCAAGTGAAATCCACTGACATTTGTCAGTATTTTCTCCGTTGAAACGCTGTCGAGTCCAACCCCAGCGTCGATTTCAGATTTACAGGGTTGCTGGCCCAATGAAAATGACTGGAAAAGATGAACAGATGCTAGAAATAGATTTCCAAGAAGGTCTGGCAGTCTCAGAGAGTGAACTCTGCGGTTGCGACTTGCGGCAATTTTGAGAGGCAACAGCCACTTCCAAGTGAAGATCGCTCCTTGCTCCTCGAGGCGAGCTCAGCAAAGAATGCCAGGACGTAAAGAGCCAGCAGGGGAGCCGACCTCATAAGTTGGTTGAGAGCATGTCTCATCACGAAAGAACTGTGGTCAACCTGGAGAATTCTGAATGGACTTCAAAGAGTTTATCCAGGGATATCCAGGGTACGTTTTGGTTCTCCCAGCAAAAGATTTGCGGTTCTGACCGTTCTGACCGAGACAGGCCGAGCAGCTTTTCCGTCAAGCCCTCTCGCTGACGCTGACCCGCCGAGCCACACTTGGCCTCGTGCAGGTGGAAAACATTGAGGGCTTTGGACCCTTGGTGTGTGTGTGTAGATGAGTGGATGAGTGTAGATAATCAAATACAAATGAATACAATAGAATACAATGGATCGATCCTTTATTATACAAGCAAAACAAGCCGTGTAGGGTACCCCAGATCCTGCTTTTCACCGCAGGCTTTGTTCCAGTTGGCTCTGTTTGACGACTTTGGCGCCCGGATGTCTGAAGTCCAAAGCTTGCTTCGAGAGGTTCAGAATTTATCCTGTGCGATACTTTGAAAATCAGATGGGAACATATAAGGTCCACTGGGTCGTTGTCAAAATCTACACAGATGTGGTGTGTGTGTGGCAAAGAATTTCTACACTTTACATACTTTTACCCTGAACTTGTGAAATCGCAGTGCAGGACTTGAGCAAAATGGAAGCTCTGGACGTGGACATCTTTGCCAGTGAGAGCCTTGGAATATCTGAAATTCTTGTTGCAGCATTCCTCAGCCCCAAAACAGGAAAAAAACTGCTTGCCGATGCTTGCCGTCTTTCTGTTGAAGTGTTCAGATATGGACCCCTGCACACACTGCTGCAAGGCCAATGTAACCTCGCCTTTTGTTTCCAATTGCAAGGCCACAAGCTTAGTACTTCATCAGCTTCAAGCAGATAGGATCGAGTCCCGAATCACTGCGTGGGCCCATTTTGAGACAGGTTACGACCAAGAAGCCAGAGCCATTTATGACCAGGCGCAGGGCATTTGCACTCAGTGTGTCCGGCAAAGACAGTCTTTGCGATTTGTTCAGAAAAGTTTGAAGAAGTTGCTGTCAGATTTGTGTGGCGTAATAGTCAAGAATACTCAAGAGGTTTTGCGTAGTTGCGGTTTCAGAGTTGGCAAAAAGTCGTGAAGCCTTGCAATGAACCTGTCATGACCTGATTTCTTGCTGGGACTTGATTCTTTTCAAGTTCTTTAGCAGCAACCATTTTGTGGCCAAGTTTCTTTCGCTCGGATCCTCAGAACATGATCCTCTCATGAACAGGTCTTGCCAGGGTACTGCCGATGGGCAGACAACGAGTCAAAGGCAGATTGCAGCAGCTGGGTAGTGAACTGCTTGAACAGCTTGCTAGTCAGTCTCAAGGAATTCTCCGACCATTCTGAGACTCACTAAGCCACTAAGCCGTCTTCACATCAGCAACTCTGACAAAATTCAAAAGCCTATCTGAACGCCACTTCTGGGAGGTATCACCAGCAATGCCCTTGTCCCTTGGTGCTTCGACAATAGGTGCGCCGGCGCTCCCTTAATCTCCTCTATATAAATTCCTTTGAATCTTGCGCTGATAGGATTCAACTGTTTTTGTGATTGCTTCCATTCAATTTTTGAAGGTGCTGCTTGTGCAGCTCACAACTCAGCTTGTTTGGATGGCAACCTTTCCAAGCTCCGATGGGCCTTGCAAGCAACCAGGCCAGACAGACGTGTGAGGCTTGGCCAGAAAAGCTGGGCATAGTCACATAGTCTTGGCAAAGGTTTTGGCAAAGCAGTCATGCAGAGGATTTCAAAAGCCATGTCTTGGCATCTCATGGCGCCAAGACTGCCCTTTTGGTTTGGCGAATTGTCTCATACTGCGCTGTCCATTGATACAGAATTGATACAGACTTCTAATTCTGTTTGCGATGGCCTACGCAGATCGCAGGATGCAGAGCTCGAGCAAGTGTTCGGTTGGTATTTTGCAACTAAGGAGTACTTGCATTGCGACGCGCTTGCTGCAGCACCTTACCATTGCAGGCATTCACACGGTCAGGTTCAAACCATACCGAATCATACATTTTATATACTGACGGTCTGAACGTGTGTGGTGTTTTTCCATTTCGACTTCGAAATGTGTTTCGCGCCACAACGGTGCTTAATTTTTCGACATCGCAACTTCCAAAAAGTGATCCGACACTGATGTTTTCCGCATTTTGGCTTCGAAATGTGCCGCGCGCCACAACGGCGTGCGCCTTTTCAACATCTCAATTTCGAAAAGTGTTCCGAACCGGCTGTGATTTCACATTTTGACTTCCAAACGTGGTTCGCGCCCCAACTGCTTGGACTTTTTCGACATCCCCGCTGCTCCAGACATGAGGTGTTTAAAACTTTTTGTCTTCCAAATCTGCTTCACGCCACAACGGCGTGCAATTTTTCATCTCTCATTTCCCCAGATGGCTCTGCTCCCGCCGCTTTAGCAAGGCTACTTTTCGACCTTCCGGATGGGGAAAAAACATAGTGATTCGCGACTTTTCCAACTTTTCGCTCGCCTGGATTTTCTCTCTTGTCTGATCTCCTTTCTTCTGCCTTTTCTTCTTTTCTTCTCTGACTCTTCCCACCTCTGCTTTTTCCATCTGTCCACATTGTCGGAAGTTTGACTTCCTTCGATGATGATATATCTATATGTATGCATTACGCATGTCCAGATGTAGTGGCTTCCTGAACCGCTTATGTAGATTCGTTTTGTGAGCGCAATTTGTTTATTCAATTAGACCCTGACATGTAGTTTATTGATGGCAAGCCTGGCAAAGTGATGCCAAGTGAAGGAGCAGAAGACGAGGCTCAGCAACTCATGGAGGAATTTCAGTGCCTTAGCGTTTGAAACTGTGTGACCAATGTGCAAAACGTGTGGCTAAAAGTGGAACTCTTAAGGTTTGAACGGTTTGAGCCACTAGCTGTTTTGAGCATATAAGAGCATGCAGCAATGTTTTCGTCGATTCTGTGGGTGTCAAGTGCTCGATTTCCAGATCCACAATGCAGCAAATTATGCAACGGACATACCAAGGAAAGGGCGATCAACCATTTTTCTCTGGCAAAGTTCTAGGGACAACAACAACCTTGCACTTTCCGAATCGAAGCACCTGACGTGAGGCTGAAGAAGGAAGAGGTGTCATCAATTGAGGCCCGGGACAACTAGTTGAAACACGCTGCATTTCATACCTGTCATACTCCTTTGAGCAAAGTTGATTCGGGCCGTGCCGTGGAATCTGTTTGCAGAGTGCGGCAAGGACAATTTCTTGGCGCTTTGGCCGCAACGTCCTTCCAGTCGAAGCAAATGGCGGCGCCCAACCACGAACCCGCGCCGTAGCGTGTGTTGCTGTGGAAATGCCAGGCCGTACAGATCGCACAAGTCCGACAAAGCAACATTGTCATTGCATGTCAAGAGGTTCAGCAATCGTTTGCTATTCAAAATTTCTTCTGATTGAAGCTGAAACAAACGCTAGCTTTCACTACCTATGTTGGACATTGTTGGACATGGCCCTGCTCAGCAGCACAGAGAGGTGTGCACCATCCAAGTGTGGCTTGACTGGAAAAGTCAGACTGCCAATCATGTCTGTGTCGGTGTGTTTTGGGTTGTTTATAACCGACCTCTGCTGCAGCTTCATGATGGATGGATTTCCTTTTCTTCGTACTTTGATGAATTTAGCACCAGTACCAGCTGGTACCAGTATTGTCTTGAGTCTTGACCTTGCTTGTGCATTTTTCTTGATTGAGGCAGATTCCCAATCAATTGTTGCAACAATGGGCCTGATACTGATGACAATTCTGCGAAACACAGAAAGGATAAGAAAGGTACCTCAGAGGAAACAAATAAGTAATCCTTGTCTGCTGAGGCATCGCTGTGGGGCATTGATAATTGTGTCCAAAAGGTTCTGCACAGCTTGTGCAAGACCTTTGCTTAGTTAGCACAGGAATGTAGCCGATATGAATTGTGGGACCCTTGCGAGGGTTGTGCGGTTGCCTGAATAAGTATCAAGGTTTCCACCATTCTGCAGCACCTAGGATTTGGTTAGACGCAAGATGACACAAGCCATTGTGGAATCTTGCCAAGCTTCATCAAGATAATACAGTTTGATTAGCGTTGATTTGTGGATCCTTTGTCGCACTGCAACGAAGATTAGAACCAGGAGAAAAGTTGCCCTGCCAGGAATTCCAGAATTCCTACCACCAAGACTTCGAGTAGAACAAATCATAGTAGATGCTCCTGTCTCAAAGCACGAATTTATCACAAAGACACTTACTGTTACAAAATCAGGTGCATCTGTGGATGCATGTGTTATGATGCATGTTCTTTTAACATCTTTATTTCAGTGGCAAAGTGAAGCGCTTTCAGGCAGTGTCAGCAACCTGCAAGCAGGCCTCCACACCAGAATTCAATTAAAGCAGAGCGAAATTATTGCCTTTTGAGGCAGTCTACTCAGGTGAGTCCAGGTATGCCAGGTATGCAAATTACCAGGATTGGCTCTTGCCTGCACACACCTGGGCACACCTGGCATGGAATAGAACAAACTTGTAAAGTTTAAGTGCTTCCTGAGCCTTTCCTGAGCGTTATGCTTCAGGATTTGCCGACCCAAATCGGCTCAATCGTCAATCAGTGACTAAGTCACTTGACCATTCCATTTCATGTCTGCCATTTCTGACGTGCATTCGTCTGATTATATGTTTGCAGCATTGGCCAGATGAGTGCATCATCACTAGGAATGGCTTGAGCACCAAAATGATGGACTATGTCAATGTTTGATCTCAGTAGTAGGATCTGGTCTAAGTTCAGCAACAAAGGAGTCAATGCAACTGACAACGTCTTAGTTTGTAAGTGAGTCGCAGACCGTTGGCATGGCCCGCTGTGAGCAGGCTATAGAGGTTCATTATGCTCAGGTCTCATCATGCAGATACTTCTTGGACAGAAGATTTCTGAGCTCATGAGCTCATTTGCTCATCTGGGCAGTGCAAACATGGCTTCGCTGTCCCAGGAAATCATTGATTTTGAGCAGACACTTCTGTTGTTCTTGGGTCCTAAGCTGCCTGACTTCCTGTGGCACAGCGCGAATTCCTGTATAGATGGAAGAAGCTCAAAAAGAAAGTCTATTTATTCTATTTTCTCAATGCTGAATTTGACTGCACTGCAGCAAGTACTATTACGTGAAGCTCCTGAATTGTACATGTTTGAAATTGTTTTGTGAACATGGCACATTTCTTGG